GGCCCCTCCTCAACGCAAGTACGGAACCCCAACGCCCCCAAACACCTTCCCACATGCATGCACCCCTAAACACCGCACATGCACACAGCAACAAGCCCCAACGAGGAGCTTCTGGCACTATTTGCGCATCTGGTCCGCGAGGCGGGGTCGAGCGAGCGTGCCTATTTTCTCTTCGTCTCCGAATGCCTGCGCGACGGCAATCGCCGCGTGTGTCGCTATCTGGTCCACAACGGGGCCGACATCAACAGCGTGCGCCATCATGAGACGCGAGGCCTCGTCACTGCGCTCCACACCGCAGGTGCGCTGTGTTTTGGCTCAAGAAGGTGATTGCCGTACTTACACTTGTGCATGTGCGTGTACGGTGGTGTGTGGGGTGTATGCGCGCGTATCGCACTGTGTTTTGCTGAGCAGTGAAGGAAGGCAACGTGCATATGGCCGAGTGCCTGCTGTCGGCGGGAGCGGACCCCGACCTGATCAGGGCTCACGATGGCAGCATGCTGCACTCTCCGCGCTCCCTCGCACAAGCCAGCCAGCACGCGCCAAACACGCATGCCGACCTTGTGGCTCTGTTCGCCCGTTTCCCACCCTCCAACGCCCCCACCCAACATGAACTCTAAGTTAACTTACAAAAAAGATGAGTGTTTATGGATGGCCTGCTTCTTCGTTCTCTCTTCAAAGATCATGGACTAAGAGATTGCCACAACAAGGAAAAAAAGAGGTACAACATGGCAAAAGGGAGATAGCCGACCGTGGGGCTCGAACCCACGACCACAAGATTAAGAGTCTTGCGCTCTACCGACTGAGCTAGGACGGCTTCGCGTTGCAGAGAGTCCCTTTCTAAACTTATTGTGCTGGGCCACCATTTCCCTTTTCCTGTTTAATTTGAACACAGTGGCCCTTGTCATGTTTTACCACCACAACCCCACACACAACCCACCCCATCCCCAGAGGGGACCCCTCCCAATTTTGGAGTTGGCTGTCAGGCCACTGTGGGTGTGTGGTGGTGGTGTGAATTATTCCTATTTGCACAAAAAGGGTTAGACTTGGCACCTACACCTATCAGTTTTGTACCACAACAAAGGACCAACAAGTGCAGTTTTGTGCAAATAGGTATAATTCAGAATTCTGTGTGGAGAAGTACAAGGAAACAGGAAAATGGTGTCAATGGGAATCAAACAAATTCAAGGACCCACTCACCTGCAAAGGTGGACAAAAAAGAAAAAGTTTTTGAGGACGACATGACTTTAACAAGCAACCTTCTGATCTGGAGTCAGACGCTCTACCAATTGAACTACGCCCCCCATCTTTCAACGTCATTGAATGCGAAGTGGGCACACCAATGTTTGGGGTTTTGGGGGCAACCAACTAATATAAAAAGAGAACTCCCCGGGCAGGGTTCGAACCTGCGACCTCACGGTTAACAGCCGTGCGCTCTACCAACTAAGCTACCGAGGATTGTGGTAGCTTGTTGACATACAATCAAATTTTGTCCCTGGGTTTGGCGCCCCCTGCTTGACAACCAATTTGCTTGCTCACCCCAATGGACTCCCTTAGATTGTGTTTGCAGAATGTGGCTTTTGTTTTCCTCTGCACCTGACCACACCCAGACTTTGTTGTTGTTGTTTTTTCATGAACCCACACTGGCTCCTAACTTCCCAGAATGCTCCCACAGCCTTTTAAAAGCTCAGCTGGGCGGACCTGGCTCTTCTTGTCCCACCCGCACTGACCGCGAAGCCGTCCTAGCTCAGTCGGTAGAGCGCAAGACTCTTAATCTTGTGGTCGTGGGTTCGAGCCCCACGGTCGGCTATCTCCCTTTTTAAGCCATCACGTTGAAGCCTGTTGTGGTTGAACCTCTTTTTTTTCTTGCTCTAACGTTCAAGTACAGGGGTACCAACACGCACTTGATTTTTGTACACTGCATCCACGATGCCTACAAGTGATCCTCTGTGTCGTGTAGCTCTTGTGGACGACAGATAGGGCCTACTCAAAACCTGCACTCAAGGTACCGCCGGTTACCAGACGACATACATTTTGAATGCACGCACAACAGAACACGTGCACAAAAGCAGGGCGAGTACTTTCTGTCTATGAAGCCGCCATACTTGCTGTGTTCCGACTGCGCGTTGGTGAGGGCCTGGCCGATAGCAGCATCCATTTCAGCGTTGCACTTCTCGCACGTGGGCTCCCCGTCTGCCGCACGACCGGGCGGTGTGAGCTCAGCCAAAAAATAAAAAACAAAATAAAAACAAAAAAAGTGGGGGGCGGTACCGACGTTGAGCACCTTGCCGGCGATGGGCTTCTCGCACTGGTAGCATGAGGGCGCCTGAACTGGCTTGCCACAGCCGTTGCAGAAGCGTGCCCCAGCCCCCAGCTTGCCTCCACAGTTGGCACAAAACGACATCTTATTGGCATAGGGTTTGTTGTGCTGTTTTTTCGTTTTCTGCTGTGGTTGCCTCGGCACGAAACTGCAAGGTCACGAGGTTCCACGAATAGACAATTTAGAATGGGCTCACACCGTTATGGGGGTGTAGCTCAGATGGTAGAGCGCTCGCTTAGCATGCGAGAGGTAAAGGGATCGATACCCTTCTCCTCCAATATACTTTTTGTGCTGTGTTCTTTGCTTAGGATTGCCAATGACAGGTGGCAGGATGATGAGCAAAGGGCCACATTGCAGTGCCCAAGACCAGGTTGTGCACAACCACTGTGTTCCCTGTGGTGGTAGTTGTGGTGGTGCCATGATGAGGGGTGGGACATGACAAAGAAGTCAGTGACCCTTTTTGCTTAGAATTTCAGCAAAATTGCAATCCAACACATGTTGGATGGGAAATCTGTACATAAAAAGGGATTCTGCCTTTGTCATTCCTTCTTCAATAACATCCTCCACTTCTGTACATTTTCTGAAAATGATGCCCAAGCTTTCCTTGATCTGTACACCAACCTCATAAAAAACAGCCAAATGGTGGCCTTTTTTGTAGCTGATCACCATGGCTGCCTAGGCAAAATAACCACAAATATCTCACAGCATTGCCCAGACAGAAAGCACAATGTCAAAGACACATGTCATAGGCCAGCTGGCAAGATAAGCAGTGGGCTTGTGGTTGGTCTACTCCTCTACCTCCTCCTCAGTTTTTTTAAACTCATCAGTGGAGAAAGAGCTGTGGTGTTTTATCAAATCTA